GGGGGGGGGGCGCCCTGTCTCCCAGCTGCCCCTGCTGGGACCCCTCAATAGCGCCCCCCGGAAGAGCTGGTGTCCCTTCTTTGCCTCTTCCTCGCTCCCCTCCCGAGGCTGCCACCTCCTCCTCTCAGGGTTTGTTTCAGGGGAGGACCCCACCCGCGACAGGGTGACCCACATCAGGGCAGCACAGGAAGTGGGTAAATTTGATGCGGGTCGAGCCTTAGGGGGGATGCTCTGCGACGCCCCCCCCGCCCCCAAAGTCACTTCTTCAAAAGATAGGCCAAGGGCAGAAAAGGGACGGAGAGACCTTGTCTTTCTCTGGAGGTTTACCTGCAGTTAACACTTTTTTTAAGGTAATGAATCAGTAATGGGGAAAAAAACAGCAAAACCCAGAGGGAAAGCCGACTGCACAGGGCCCGTGCGAGTCTGACGGTGGCCGCCCCTCCCTGGGCCTCCGCACCAAGCAACGGGAGGCCGGAAGGAGGGCCCGGGGGGTCCGGGGCGTGGAGACTGACCCTCCTGTCTTGCCTGCTCCCCGCAGGTTCGACAACTATTCAGCCAATGTGATGGTGGACAGCAAGCCCGTGAACCTGGGGCTGTGGGACACCGCGGGGCAGGAGGACTATGACCGCCTCCGGCCGCTCTCCTACCCACAGACGGTGTGCTTCCCTGTCCTCCTGTCCCCAGCCTGAGCTCGTCCCGCTCCCTCTGGGGGCGATGCCCTGGGGCCAGGGCCGGGCAACCCTGCCCCTGTCAGTAATGACCCCTCTGGCCAGAGCGGGGCCTCCTCCCCTCCCCGCCTGCCTTCAGCTACCCTGCTCTCACTGTGCCCATCTCCCCGGCCCCCCTGCCTCGTGGGCTCTGGCACCCCCCGGGGCTGCCCCAGGGTGGGGCAGGAAGACCCCGGACGGGGCCCAAGTAGGGAGCCCCGGACTCTGAGTCCCAGGGGTGCTGGGGAGAGGAGGAGAGATGGGGGCGAGCCTACAGCCTCTCCCTCCAGGCTGGCCGGGAAAGGGCTGGTGACCAGAGGGTAGGTAGTGAGTGCCCGGTGAGGCGTACGGGTTCTGGAATCCCGGGTGACAAACCCCGGGCTTCCGTGAGCCTCACTCTCCCCACCTGTAGAAAGGGGCAGCCTGTCGTGTGAGGATGAGTCCCTTAGAAAAGCCTGGATCAACAAACAGCTCGGTGGCTGCCCGGGTGTGGGAAGGGCCCAGGTGATGCCTCCAGGCCTCTCACGGGTGACCGTTGCCTGCTCTGTCCCCAGGACGTCTTTCTCATCTGCTTCTCCCTTGTGAGCCCTGCCTCCTACGAGAATGTCCGTGCCAAGGTGAGCAGGACAGAGTGGGGCCTTGGGGGCCTGGGGCGGGTGACCCGGGGAGGGGTTGCTGATGACTTTAGGGCAGGGGCAGGGGCAGGGGCAGCGGAGGGTCCCCAGTGCCAACCAGGGCTGTGAGTCTCCGGGGGTGAGACTCAGAGGGGGCTCCGAGGGGGCTGGGGTGGTTAGCTTTACTCCCCCTCCTCCCCGCCTCGCCACCCCTCTTCTCTCCTCACATTCGGTGCCCCTCCTCTCCCCGTTCCCGTGCCCCCTCCTGCCCG